CCGGCACCACCGGCACAAAGTTTACGCAGCGCACTTCTCATGTGTAGGAACCATGTGATGTGTGCGTTTTCAGAGCCTCCACCAACTCACTTCGCGCGCGCAATTTGAAACGTGAGGAAATCGATGCCGAGTATACGTCGAATCGACGTGAAGGGAAATATGAGGGAAAATGTCATAGAGGTTGTCCTTACAACAAAGTTGAAGCATAGTGGGGAAAAGATTAGGCTTGTAACACATGCCAATTCAACTGAACTTTAATTTTGGCACAGGTCGATATCTTATTTTCTTCGACCCGATTTTAGACTCGACCCATCTTAGATGGATCGACGCCGAATCGACGTCGATCCGACCTCTCTGTTCTGGCTGGGATGAGTGATTATTTATGAGTGATTATTTATCGGGTCTATATAAGGATTGAAGTTAACACCTTACTGTCATTATTTGCAAGGCTTTATTGAAGTACCATTTATCGACGCTAAATGAAACTAAACAAAAGGAATGCGTATCATCTCAAATTTAAAAGCTACATGACAAACTTTTGTTTGCAAGACAACTATCAAAATCTGTGAGAATTAGTGCCGGAATCACACTCTGATCAGATAGATAATCACTCATAAATTGTTGAATTATTTACTACATTCCCATATTGGTTTGAAATATTGACTTACACATTTGGGGCTTCTTCCCCTTCTGTTGAAGTTGAAGTACTTCTTGGTTGGCGCCTTTTCGTGCTGCTTCCAACACTACCTGAGGGAGAACGATAAAGTGCTGCGCATACATTGCCCAAATCACTCCCTAGTTGTGTCATTTTCTTGAGCTTCTCGTCTTCAGAAACATTAGTTCTATCAAGAAATTTGACGTATAATTCTGAAAAAGAAATTTAGAATTTAGACTCTAGCTGTAACATTAGATCAAAAGAATTTAATTAAGTTAATTGCTCTAATGACTAATAAGTAAAATTACCTCTGGCAGCCTCCATGAATGCAGGAGGAAACTGCTTCTTGCCAGCTGTCCGTGGTGTAGAGTAGCACAGTACATCTTGGCTTCCTGCCCGTAAACACCACACACCAGCGATTTCTGCCACGCTGTCTTATTGTCAGCAAGATCCAGCATGGAGTACGCAGAATTCAAAATGCTGATGCCATGTCCTAAGTCCTGAAATAGGAATATATATTTATAGATACATTTTTCACTCTCACCAGATTTTATTATAAGTTACTGGGTTGAAGACTTACAGTTCTTGGTGCACTAAACTCTGACCGAGTAGAACTGGACCGAGATGATCCAGCTGGTGGAAAAGCAGGCGGCCTCATCACTGCAAAAATTACACAAAAGCATTAGATAGATACACTTCATGAACTAGGGGTGCACTTGGTCAGCAGCCCCAGGAAATAATTCTCACCTGCTATTGCAGGGCAAGTGTAACAAAAACATGCTCAGCTCCACTAAAATATTGTTACAACAAATTTCAAGTCTCTAGATCATCTCCCTCCTGTGAAACTGATATGAGGAAAGCTCTCTATCGGAAGGGAACATGGAACATGTCTTCCCTTCTCACTCTTCTTGTTACTGAAGTGATAATCTTTTCCAAGGCAAAGTTTATCACTACATTATTACACTGTAATAAATGTGTTTGTAGATATACACCATATTTAGTAATATACTATTTACAAAATATGTTGTAAATGTACTACATGGCACACTTGCTATAATAGAAGCAAATACATTTAAATATAAAGATACGATTATAAACAGACACCTCACATATTGGCATCTTGCCTCTGTCTTTTGCTTGTAACGTGATATTGGATTTGTAGTATCTTTATACTATTTATAAATTAACTTTCAAATCCTAAAAACTTTCTAGCCCAATTACAAAATATAAGTTATATTGAGTTCATGGCTATCTATATAATGAATAAATTGACTAGAACAGAAAAAAAAATCACTTTTGATGTACCTAAGTATGTATAGGTAAAACAGATAACATAATATATTAGTTTTTTCCTACAGGGCAAGATCCATTAGATGGACCATATATACAACTATAAATTTTTTTCCTACAGGGCAAGATCCATTAGGTGGACCATAAATACTTAGCATCTAAAAATAAATAAATAAAATACAAGCATTAACTACAGTGAAAGGTAAACCATATTTAGTAGCCTGACTCAGTTTGAAAGTCCAGACTGTCTGGGATACCATTTAACCACTGTTTTACACTCTTAAATATTTCTTCTTGATTGTCAAAGTAGCTTGTGTCGTACTCACACATTTGACTTTTCAGTGTCTCGACCTCAGACCCTACTTTTCTCACATCATCACGAAGAGAAGGAATCACTTTAACAGCCTCCTCAATCCTCTCTATCCGAGCCTCAAAAGCAACACGTTGGTCCAGCTGCTTGCGTAAATTAGCCAGTTCTGCCTCAAGGCTCTTGATTCTTGCTTTATCTGTCTCTGCTGGCAAGCTGTCTACAGATGCATTTGATTCGGTTTCCAATGAACCATTAAGCAAGTGGCTATTAGAGACATTATCTGCGATTCGAGGGGCTTCTTGAGAGTTTCTAGCATTCTGAAACTTCGAAAACTATTTATGATAGACTGGTTTCTAGACTCCTTCTTGTTTAATTCTTTTGAACTCTGAAACAGTCAGAATACACAACTCACTATAGTATTCAGGCAGCTCTCATGAAACTTAATGTATAGCAGTACTTACTGTCTCTGTTTGTTGTCTCTTGATCGGATTCATATTTTCACTTCCATCACGCTCATCATTAGTAGTTGTAGCTATGTCAGAATCTCTCTGACAAAGGACTAGGAACCTGGGTCTCTTGGCCTTAATTGAGTTCTCCATATCTTCTTCAGAATCTAGAAAGAATAATAGATAAAAATTAATGGGCATTCTGTAAAACTTATGTTAAAATATTAGTTTAGTATTAAAGGAATATTTGGGTGAATCACGCTAAAGACCAAAAGGGCTTCAAGCTTGACAAAGAAATACTACAATCAAACTTAAGGTACTGTTTCAAGACTCAGAAATTTTAAATTTGTATACAAAATGTCAAGTTTCACAAGGGGCACATAACCAAACTGTCTCTTACCTGCCAACCGGCATACGTAGCCTTTGCACTTGAGCGGGCTACCATTTGGTTTAGTAAACTTGTAACTCAGAACCCAGTATAGTAGCGCACTGTTGAAATCGTTTAGATCGCTAGGTGCAAAAGGTTCAGTCTTTTTTTTGTCAAGAAAAACTCTGCTCACAGGCACTATTTCCCACTCGCTATCGGTAAAGGTAACGTAGGCAAATTTCGGTGCCATCTTTAAGACTTGTTAAAGACCACCTCAATGCTGAGTCACAGGTAAACACTTCTCTTATCTTGAACTACAAGTACCACAATAATTTCGCAAAGACAAAGTACAGCAAAGACGCGACAGTCTGTCTGTGGTCTGTGTTGTGTTACGAATGCGAAAACATCAAGCATCAAAAATGGCGATGTGATTAGAAGAAGGAAAAGAAAAATACGTGAAGTGTAGCCAACTGCGATAGTTAAAAAAACATAGTCGGACGGTTTCCCTTAAATATTTACGGTGTAAAGGTGATGTTTTAAGTTCTAATAAAATCTAAAATGCTTTCAGAAGTCTAAAGGTAAGGTTTATCTCGATGAGACTTTTGGTGGACATTTTTATTACTGTGAGTGCTGGTACCAACATTTTCCCGCAGGGCAAGCAGACGACCAGACTAGCAAACACTCTTTCCTTCTGCTGCCGGTGGACTGTAAACACGTACGTATACAAATTTACTGCAGAATTGTCGTCTAACTGTGTTTTGCTTTTTCCCTTGTAGTGAGAATGGACAGCCAGTTTAAGCTTAGGTATAAAAACTGGCAAGTGGACAAAACCCAATCGAAACCGAAATCTTCAAAGTACCGGCATATCCGCCGAGAGCGTGAGGTTAGTATTTTTGGTGTAAATTTCAATTTATATATGCTGAGTCATGACAACTGAATGCCAATTAAGGATTTCAGTGCTTTGATACTTAATGAGACAAGCATTTTTAGGCTGACTCTGACAAATTGTTTCAGAAGAACCAGTTGGGACCGGTCCAAGCCAACCATGGAACATTAGAAGAAAGGGGGGAGATTGCTGCGCAGATCAACCATCAAAGTTGTGGAATGGATGCTAACCCAGATTTCGAGCTCGAGCAGCTAGAACAAATTGAACAAGCAGTGCATAGTGATGAATATGCAGATCAGCTGGAATCTGATGCTGAACATTGGCACAATGCCGAACAGGTATGCATTACTCTTGAAGTTTAATGGCGGGGTGTCTGCGACTCGTAAACTAAAACATGCTCTGTTCTTGACAGATGGAGCAGGAGCCAAATGCTACCAGTTACTGTGACACTGAGCCTGCCTTCTTTGAGCCTGTAAACAGTTTAAATAATCCACCAGAAGAAGGAGGTCTCCCCAAAGAAAAACTTTGTGGATGTGGATGCACAAGTATGACAGCAGGTGATGTATTTTTGATGACAGTAGGTCTTGGTTTGCGACACAATCTTACATGGGCAGCACAAGTAGACATACTTAAAATGGTAAACCAGCTATTTAACTTGAACCCATTAAAAGCAACTAAATATTATTATGAGAAAGCTGTTTGCAGTGGTAACATAGCTGTAGACACTTACTTGTATTGCCCTGACTGTGGTGTATCTCTGGGGAAGGTAGAACAACAATTGAACCCTAATATTGTCTGTACTTGTAAGAAAGTAGTGTCAAAACAGTCAACTCTGTTCTTGTCTCTTAGTTTAGAGGACCAATTTAAAAACCTATTAAGGGATCCCGTATTTGCTAAGGATTTAATGTCTCATAGATTTGATAGGAAAAAAAATGGAGACGACTCCTTATTGAGGGATATTTTTGATGGTGCAGCATATCGAAAGCTATTTGATAGCTCTGGCCCTTTGTCTAAGCCCGAGAATTTCTCACTGTCGTTTAACACTGATGGAGTGTCAGCTGGTAAATCAAACAGTGTTAACAGAACTATGTGGCCGATTCTTGTTACTATTAATGAACTCCCGTACAGTATTAGGAATAAGTATGTATTAATAGCTGGTTTATATGTAGGCAAGACGCATCCCAATATGGATGCATTTTTAGAGCCATTTGTTGAACAGTTAAACAGATTGTC